ACTGAACTTCAATCGAAGGACAACTCATATATCTTTGCTAATATATTCTTGAAGACAGTTCTCCAATTAATATAGACAATAAAAAATAATGTATTTTTTGCGCTAGTGGAATTCATAAACCTTTTATTTAGTTTTCATGTGAACAATTTTGTATTTTGCTAGTTACTTAAAATATTAAACACACACCAATTTTTTAGAATAGATAGATAGAAATGTGTACGACGGTGCTATGGGGAGAAGTGTATTTATGATTATGCACATTTTTCTTTAAATTTTGGGACCTTTCTTCTAATCCAGACATACAAGTTGGTTATCGATGACTACTGGTGGAAACGGTGCGACTTTTGCAAACATTGATAAGAAAATGATTAGCTCTAACAGATCGAGATCGTCCTATATATTCAAAGATTAAGTGTCCTTGATTGAAGTTCAGAGTTAACTGACTAGAATCGAGAAGCGACACGAAGTATTAGGAGACAAAATCAGCCCGTCAATATTAATTAAAAAAAACATTTTCTCAACTAACGTTGTTCGAGTTAATTTATTTGGAGATAATTGTTGTTTACGGGGGCAATATTTTCTTGAGATCCAATTTCTCAATTACAATAATTCATCTTGAATGAAGTATTAATTCATGTTTGAATTATTTCCCTTTTCTGTGATAGGTAAGATATCAAATGGCATTCGCAATAAATATTGATGAAAAAATATTAGTCATTCCCATCGTAAAAGATGACGTCCTGACGGTTCAACGTTGGGCCAACCGCAAGCTATATCTGCGATACGGAGTTCACAGTTTCGTGGGTGGAGGAGCTTTAATTGTTGAGGAATGTTGTGAAAGATGTCTTGATGAAATGTCCTAGGGGACTTGTTGTGTTTCGGAGACAAAATAAAGTGAACGAAGTGGCCCAGATTGTAGGTGCATCGTGGTGGAGAGTCCAAAGATACGTACAGGAAACCTAAAATACATTCTTTTTTTTAGTTTCTTCGAATGTTTCTCAATATTTTTAATATTATTGTCATTGATATTGTAATAATTCTACTATAATAATGATGTGATAATTAAGTCGTCGAATAAAGTATCTTAATCTATATTGAGGTTTTTCGTCCAATTTACAGTCTTTCGTAATGAAAATGGCGAGATTGTTTTGCTTGAGGGAATATAACAGATTCCGATCAACACCAAATGTCAAATACAGTTGCTATTACTGTATTCCAAATACCAAAAAATATAAATCAATGAATAAACAAAGAAAAGTGAGCAAATAGTTGTGCATCTCCTCTGAAAACCTTGATCAATGTTGGAGGTGTATGAATGAAGCTTATATGTAAGGGAGATGGTATGTCATACGTCAAGTTGCTGCTGGTCAGATTTTATCCTGGCAAAAAGTACTACAACCCCATAAGATTGTTCTCAATTAGACAATGGGTTGCAGGTGGAAGACATAATGAAACCGAACGCCATGGAAAATTTCCCTCCAGAAACGACCCCATTTCAGCTCAGTGCTCCTCATCGTTGAATTTCTTAACCGCTTTATTGTCCTTAACAGATAAAGCGGTAATATTTTTATCCACTTTGATTGGTAAAATGAAACATTATGCAATTATAATCAGTTTCGTTTTTGATTGATTGATTGATTGATTTATTGTTTTGTGATTCTGGGCACGTCAACTATCAGCGTCATTAGTTCCGTTAAGTGTAGTGTACGTTTTTGCTCGGGAGGTGGCGGTGATCTTTCCCTTACTGTATGGTGAGATCCCGCGCTAATACCGTCGGCTAGCGGGATTTCCCCAACCAGATATCAGCGGGGCACAGCCCCAACCGGGTCAAGCACTAAGCTCCTAAGCTCCCGACCGAGCTCCCGGCAGTGTGGTAATGTAGTGCACGTTAGTTTACGTGTGTGTGTGTGTGTGTGTGTGTGTGTGTGTGTGTGTGTGTGTGTGTGTGGGGTGAGAATAGGACAAGAAAGAGGAATGTGATATCGAGCATGGCATTCAATTTTCTATGAATTTGCAACAAATTAGTTTCGTGAAAAGCACATCTAAATATCGATGAAAAGATGAGATCGCGCGTGGTGCATGGCCCGTTTGTTAGGGTACTGCTCCGGTAGTCGCCTGGTATTGATTGGAGAAACCA